ACATTCGGAGACGAAATGCTTACCACTGCATTTGGGATTGAGGCAGTCGGGCATATCGAAGGCACGTTTTTTACGGCGACTAGAAACGTCATTATAGCTTCCTTCTTCTTTTGCCTTTTTATTCCGGCCCTTCAGGTTCTTATTATTACCCTTCTTGGGAGACAAATTCTTCTTGTGCCTACGTTGAGAGTGGGTTCTGTCATCATCACTTTCGGTGGAGGCACTGGAAGCTCCAGAGTCGGAGTCACCACGGTGGTAGCGCGACTCTTGCTCCTGTTCTAATTTTTTGGCTTGGGCAGCCAGCTCACGCATGAACGCGCCGAAATCCTTCTTATCAAACTGCTCATCCTTGCGCCATAGGACAATGTCCTTCATCCTCCGTTTTAAAAGCCCTGGTTTGATCCTTTTCATAATATGATGAATTGAAATGTGCGGTTTCTTGTCCGGCAGGTCAGGCATTCCAGCGGCTTCTAGGACGGATATATAATGATGATGCAGACTCCAAACACGGTCTTCGGATTCTTTCAAACTGAGGTCCATCTTGACATTCTTCACGACGCGATCGATGTGCCCTAGCTCATGACTTTTCGGCTCATAAGATGCTCTAATCTTGATGCATTCCTTCAGTTGTTCTTCCGTAAGATCCTTGATAGAGTCTGCTCGGATCCAATGTGCGGTCAGGAACATACGGAGATATGAGTCGTCTATAGATGCTCGATACGAGGTAGGCGTTATTTTTACCCCTGGCTCGCGGTTCTTCTCCTCAACTTGTTTTTCGTACAAGTCCCTCTTCTTCTGAAAAGAGGTGAAATGTTTGGTCGCGACGCCTGTGAGACGTGGGGCCTCGAGGTTGGTGACGATTGTCTGTCGAACCGTTCCACGAACGCCCCCAGGAGTGGTTGATTTTTTTTGGTTCTTTTTCCGTCATGATGACGTAATTCCGTTGGCTCAACGCGCACGATTCTTTTTCGCGAAAAAGTAATTACTGTGGCAAATCGCGGGGCGTTGGCTGCAGGGGATACGTCAGAGACGACGGAGGTCGTCTAGGTTAGCGTTTGGTGCGCTAACCAGAAAAACAAGAGTAGTGGCGAGTTCGCTCTGGCCGGACTGATTCCCGGGAGGGCGCTGCCTTTTATTATCCCTCGTCGCCGTTCCTTTCTCCACCGCCTTCCAGCGGCAGACTTTGTCTCGTGCATCGGCGCGGTGCATGCGAACGGGCGCCAGCGGCGGACGCCCGTTCAACTCTAATTGCAACCGAAAGGTCGTCTCGCGCAGCGGACGTCTGTCCGTCGGCGCTAAAGTAGAGACGCGGTCGCCTCTTGTTTCGTGCACCGTGATAAGGAAACGGCCGTACGTCCCAAGTAGCTCTGGGATCAATAGGGCATCGCTACACTCATTATAGCAACACGTCGTCCAGCTTTGCTTTTGTCGAGCTACAGGGAGTCAGACTGGGCCATGTGCATGCGCGAGGAGGCGTTGCTGTACCTTCCATGCTGCATGGATCTGCAGACCGTCCAGACTCTGTTCCATTTCCGAGGAGTGGAACTATGGGATGGCATTACAGTAAAAACTACAGCAATGTGCTTCCGATTTCAGTGAAGAACTCAATAAAAACGGGGCGAGGGAAAGGAAGACGAGAGGAAAGTCCTTTGTTAGGACTGGCCCTGAGGGCCAGTGAGGAAAGAATTCTATGGCACTTCTCTCCTACAGTAAAGGGTTTCCGTATGAATCGATCTTCTGACACTTTCATTTAGGCTTCAGAGCATCTTTCACAATTCTCAGGGACACGCCCTTCCCAGAGATCTTGAGCGTGCTTTTGTGCCACTGCTCCAATACCTTTCCCCAACTCGAATCCAACGTCCACAGAGGGAGAAAAGTGAACACCTGCATACAACCTCGACTTTCCACAAGTCAACGCTGCTGCTTGCAGCGTTTCATACTTCACCTTAACATTCTCGGTGAGGGGGGATCTTCCGAAAGGGAAAATATCCGTTTCATATGCAGCGATAGTCCCATTCACTTTGATGAAATTCGTGAGAGCAGCATGCAAATGATCCATAGATGCTTGGCAGATGAGAGCGCTTGCGGAGGGGTACTCAGAATGTGGTTGAATTGGCACGATGGGTTCCCATTCTTCAGCCTTCACAAGGCCCACTCCCTCGTCCAAGCTCTTGAACGCTCTTATCTTTTTGCCTTCGAACAATCGTCGAAGCATGGTCGGAGGCCGCACCAAGTCGTGACGAAGCTTTTCCTTCCATGCCAGCATCACTGAGTCGTGCTGCGCCATAACCTCTCCGAGACCTATGACTACCAACTTGGTATCGCTAAACCCGTAAACACCTTGGTAGAACGCGATGAAACTCCCTAGAGACAAGAATTTGTTATCCCACCAGTGCGCCTGAGCGATTTGCTCTTTCGTGAGGTCACGATTGAGCTTCAGAACTTCCCTAAGGAGGCGTCGCATTGTTCGCTTGTCTTTGGCACCGATGGTCTTTTTGCGGTCAGCGGACGCGTACGGAGACTCCGATTTGCGGCTCAAGAATTCTTCCCTGGAAAGAACAAGAGGTTTGGCTCTGCCAATGTGGGGCACAACATGAACTTGACTTGTGAAGCGACCGCGATGGTCAGCTTCCTGTTTGAGAGGTTGCCAACGAAGCGGGCGACGAAGTCGAGAGAAGTCAAGCTCAGCGTGGTTTTGAGGCTTGAATCCGGTGTAGTCGGAATACTGCTGGCGGAAGTGGTCTCTGGAGAGATCGCCCAAGGAGTTCCAACCATCGGTCTCAAGGTAGGCCAACAAGTCCATGGCCATTGCGTTTGCGATTCCAATTTCCGTGGTCGGATCGGTAGAGTCAGATGTGGGATCAAGCCCTTGTCGGATGAGGAAAGCTTCAAGATTGCGTCCTTCAAGGGGAAATTGAGAGCGGTACAAACGATTCAGGAGGAAAGCGGAAATCTTGGCAAAAGGTAGAGGCGCACATAGGTGTGGTGGAATTACATTGCGCTTGCCCAGGAATCCTAGGGCTTTCGAATCACATGCCGCAATGACTTCGTAAAATGGTATTGTGACAACCAGCACAAGGCGAATTGCGATGGGAGTCTCAATGCCGATGATATTTGATGGAAAGAGAAGATTTGCAAATTCGTTCGGAGGGCCAGAGCCAGCGCCAAGGACGGTTAGGTTTTGAAGAAGAGTTGGTTCTTCTGGAGCCTGTGCGCTCACATGATGAAAGAACAATAGGACAAGAAATGCAAAAGCATGGAGTACCATTGCTGCTGGCAGTTGTTCACGATGGAAAATATTTGCTCACGAGGGCACCTTAATTGGCGTTCGATAGAGTGAATGCAAGCCTTTCAAGGTCGGCACATACGGAGGACACTTATAAGTAATGTTTTCGTTCAAAACCAAGATATTGATGACCGAATAATAAACTAAGACAGGAAATTGGCCTTCCTAAACATGAAACATCGATCATGTTCATGCATCAAAATGCGACAGTTGTACTGTGGGCGTGTACCGTACTGCTCAAGTGTGCGGATTGTGTTCTGGAGTTTTTGTGGTCCTCTGGGTATCTGCTTCAATAAGAACAGAAGTTTTACCATGGTCACAGCTGGTTGGTTATTAAAATCAGCAACCAGCTGTGACCATGATTTTCAGCTATGTACTGTATTGCTCTTGAGCTATTATATTAGAGTTAATGCTGCGTTTAGTGGGGCGATCGTGGCCTTTTTTGTGGCAAAAAGGGGGTGAAATGGCTTTTCTTGTAGTGTTGCCACAAAAAAGACCACGATCGCCCCACTAAACGCAAAATCTCCCATTAACCTTGTTGCCACCACTGGAAACGTGTGAGCGATCATAAGGGTACCGTTTCCGCGCACGAATGGCGCTTCCGCGCACGAATGGCGCTTGTTGGAGTATCTGCATGCGTGAGAGATAAACAAGGTGGACTCGGGAGGGCAGATCCGATACGTAAGTGAAATGGCATCCGCGTTGCCAATCTAAACTAGCGAATAATTTTATACGGTCTTGCACAACTCAAGAGATGTAGCCTACATACGCATGACGGCACCGCAATCTCATTTCTGATCAGAAACCTATTCGAAAAATTCCCAGTGAGGGAAAAGTGACGGCTCTTTAAGACCATCTCCACCGCAGGTCTATTGCCCGTGTTGTTTTTTGGCTTTCATCAATGACCAAAAAATCGAACCCCATGGCATTTGGTCAATTGTATTGTCTGGTTTAGTCGTTGCAATAAACCAATTTCTGGTCAATAGAATCACGCTATTGACCAAAATCTGGTTTATTCACATGCAATACAACAGCGACATGGCACTTGTCCATTGGTTTACATTGGCGCGAACTTGCCGAAACAGATCCCAAAACATAATCTTGCTAGAGATTGGCAACAAGCTGTCCTGAAGTCCAGATTGGCGTTGCCAGATCTACCTGGCCGCGAACCGCTGAAGACTGGCTTTTCCTTTTGTTTTTTCGTGCAGTAGGAGACCCGACAGATGAGTGCAGCGACAGTATACACTGGTGTAATTTAGGTCTGGTGTCGCACAATATCACGGCTCACGGCACAGCACTGTACACAGTACTACCATCACAGTGGAAGGAAACAAGGTTTAGACACATGGAATATTTGAGTTTTAATCCCGCTACTGTTACTGTATCACGAGCTGGTCTACAAACTCTAGGTTAAGGCTAGTCAGGAGTCAGTGACTTGCAGTTCCTTCCGAAATAACACATGCATTCGCGACACAGGCTGGCTACACGACGGGAACGTTTTATAACAAACAATGTTACTGAAGAACTGATGCCGTTCAAATCAATAGCCTACACGCGAAGCAAAAAATCTCTTGCTGGGTGACGCCAAATTGGCCGGCGTCAGCTTCCACTCGTTCTTGTGAAACAATATTCAAGTTCTCCAAGGGTGGTGCAGTTGGGAATTCCGTTGCCCACGATTAGTCGCCCACGAGAATAGCACTGGTGACGATCAAGATTGAACACAACCTGGTGACTTCGTGTTGTTCATCCCAGAATCTTTACGCGGGCGTACTAAGGACTGTGTAGTATGTGCAGTTGTTTACATATCCCGAGAGGATGGGTCGGTTAGACCAATGTTGTGTAGTTATCTGAGTTCTACCTGCTGTCAAAAAGAGTACAATAGCTCAATTCACTTATAATTCGTCGTGGGAGTCATCAACATCCTCATCCTCCTCCCCGCCAGCAGAAGCACCACCGGCACCACCAGCACCGCCTCCAACCTTTGCCATGATTGGTTCAATAACATCCTTTAGATCTTTTAGGCGACCCTCGATATCCTCCAGGTCGGCCTCCTCGGCGTCACTGTCCAGCCACTCTTGTGCTTCCTTCGCTGCACTCTCAAGCGATGCGACTTCCTCCTCACTGATCTTGTCAGCGATCTTCTCTTTCTCCTCCAATGTGCTCTTCACAGTGAAGATAGTGTGTTCGAGGTTGTTCTTCGCTTCAACTTTCTTCTTCAACAACTCATCCTCATCCTTCATCTCCTCGGCCTCTCTCACCATTCGCTCAATTTCTTCTTCAGACAGTCTGCCCTTGTCATTGGTGATAGTGATGCTTTCTTTGTTGGAAGCACCCTGCTCCTCGGCAGCCACACTCAGGATTCCATCGGCGTTAACGTCAAAGGTAACCAAAATCTGAGGTTCACCACGACGCGCTTTAGTAATTCCACTGAGATCGAATTTCCCGAGCATGTGACAATCCTTCGTCATGGTACGCTCTCCCTCAAATACTTGAATGCTCACAACATCTTGATTGTCTTGATAGGTGGTAAATGTTTGACTCTTCGAAGCCGGAACCTTCGAGTTACGGGGGATGATCTTGCTCATGACACCTCCAACAGTTTCGATGCCGAGAGACAGAGGAGCGACATCAACAAGAACAACGTGGTCGGTGGCCTCGCCACCGTCTCCAGAGAGAATTCCTGCTTGTACAGCGGCACCATAGGCTACAGCCTCATCGGGGTTGATACCCTTGCTGGGGGCCTTGCCATTGAAGAAGTCACTGACCATCTGTTGGATCTTCGGAATACGTGTGGAACCGCCAACCAGGACCACTTCGTGGACCTCATCCTTTGTGAAGCTGGCATCCTTGAGCACCTTCTCAACCGGCTTAAGAGTCCTGCGGAAGAGATCAGAGTTGAGCTCCTCAAACCTGGCGCGAGTGAGAGTTTCGGAAAAGTCTTGACCGTCAAACAGCGACTCAATTTCGATGCGCACTTGGGTCTGGGAAGAAAGAGCCCTCTTCGCCTTTTCGCATTCACGGCGAAGTTTGGCGAGGGCGCGCTTGTCCTTGCTGATGTCCTTGGAGTACTTGCGCTTGAAGAGCTTCATCATGTAGTCCATGACGCGCTGGTCAAAGTCTTCACCACCGAGATGAGTATCTCCGTTAGTAGAAAGAACCTCGAAGACTCCGTCGTCGATAGTGAGAAGAGTAACATCGAAGGTTCCACCTCCGAGATCGAATACCATAATGTTCTTCTCGCCCTTCTTGTTAAGACCGTAGGCAATGGCGGCAGCGGTGGGCTCGTTAATGATGCGCATGACGTTAAGACCAGCGATGGTACCAGCGTCCTTGGTGGCCTGGCGCTGAGCATCGTTGAAGTAGGCTGGGACAGTGACGACGGCGTTCTTCACTTCCTTGCCTAGATACTCCTCGGCAGTTTTCTTCATCTTACCCAAGACCATGGCGGAAATCTGCTCGGGAGAGAATGACTTTTTCTCATCCTTGATGTCGACTGAAATCATGGGCTTTCCGCCCTGGTTGACAATCTCGAAGGGAAGAAGCTTCTTGTCGCGCTGAACCGTGGTATCGCTGAACTTGCGACCGATGAGCCTCTTCACGTCGAAAACAGTGTTGACTGGGTTCATGGCGGCCTGGTTCTTGGCTGCATCTCCAATGAGACGCTCGTCAGAAGTGAAGGCGACGTAGCTGGGAGTGATGCGGTTACCTTGGTCGTTGGCGATGATCTCAACCTGACCATTTTGCATGACGCCGACGCATGAGTAAGTAGTGCCGAGATCGATACCAATGACGGTACCAACCTCCTCTTTTCCCTCAGCGCATGCAACGGCGGTAAAAGTGGCGGCGGTGACAAAGAGGCCGATCGCCAGGCGAAGAAGGGAGAACGTGTGGGACTTCATCGTAAAAATCCTTGGACAGTAGGGTAGAGGAGTGACTCGCAGGGTTCGGGGCAGGTGGGTGAGGTAGTTAGTCTGACGGGGGAACGACAATGAGAAGTTAAAGAGTCGGGGAATCCAAAATGGACCTCAACGTGACGTTGGGGACGAGGAAGTAATGGGTTGGTGTGGATGGTGTTCGAAGGTCGTTGGCGAGACGAGCGGAAAAGCTGCTTATATAGTTTAGGGTGGAGGAGCGCGTAGAAGGGTGATGTACTTGATGCAATTGGGGGATCACGGGGAAACGTGCACTAGAGAGGCATGTGATGCTCCTCCTGCGAAGCTTCTGGACCAATTGTTTGGCATGATGCACCAACGATTGGCCGATTGTCTTCTGTTGACTGTGAGATTCAATCATTACATGGAAGTTGACTAACTATGAGTGGCGAGCGTTGGTTTGCAAGTGGTCAAGTGAACTGCCGCGTCCACTGGGATACACGTCATACTCAACCACATAGTCAAATATACAACCAATTAGGCGTCTCAATTTGGTCCCTTATCATTACAGAACGTGTTGGTCCTTCAAATTGTAATTGAAAAATAGCTTCAGCCCGCATTTCTCAGGTCTGTAAGCACAGGTATCATGATTGAATTCAGTCTGAAACCGTGGATAAACTGCACATTTTGCACTAATGAGTATCCTACAGCTAGCTCTTGTGTGATGTGCTGGAGCTCTACTGTTGTCCCTCCATGCGTTGGTTTCAAACCAATGGTTTGGGTTGATTCTGCATTTGTCAACCAACTCTGTACTGAATCGTCCTCGAACAGCCTCACAAGTCTTGCTGACAACGCAGTCTTTCCCTGCTCATGTGAATAACCGCCGGGCATCTTGACATTGATGTCCTTGTACAACAAGTACCCTCCGAAGCGTACCGTACAGGGGGGGGGACTCCCATTAGTGCCACTTTTACTAATGCCACCCTCCCACTAATGCCGGCCAGACCCATGAACACAAAAAGTGCCACGTGTCACACGGGTCCGGGTGTTATGCGGCCGTCCGTCCATCGCGCGTGAAAACATGTGAAAGCAGCTTTTAAGCCCGATTCTATTCACCGAACAGCGTTCACAGACCTTAGCTTGTCCTCCTTATGGATCTGGTTCCGGAAATAAAAAAAGCAACGCGCAATCAAGTGATGAAGATGGGAGCGCAAAGGACGCGAGAGAGAAGGACTGTACCCTCTGTCGTTGGATCGCGGAATTGTTTGGAGAGCTGGAAGTTTTGGCGACTGAATGCCAAGTTTCAGACGCTCTATCACATCTGAGGTCGGCAAAGCGCGCGTTTCTCACTGCAAAACACGACAGAGACCCAACGCGGAGCAGGCAGACGTTAATTACCGAGTGCATGAAAATAGATGTGACGAAGTCACCTATTAATGCCGTCTCCCAATAGTGCCAGTTTTGGGGTCTCACACGGGGCGGCACTAATGGGTAGGGCCCCCTGTATGTTGAATGCAATCCTCGTGGAATGCAACAACTACTGGATGTATCTCTAATTGCGATTGATTGATTTTTCTGCCGATACCCTGTACAGTACTCGTTTGGCCATTCCATTCTAAATTCTTGAGCAGAGACATTTGAAGTGGAAGGCAGCATATCTCATAATCTTTAACTTTCTTCTCCCTTGTTGTCTCAGGCGTCGTAGCCCGTGGAAGGTTTCGAACCTTCAGTTTCTTTCAACTTACACAGTCACTGTACTTCCCGAGAAACAAGTGTGAAGTAGAAGCCAGCGCACAGGAGGACCACGGCCAAGCGTGCTTGCTGAATAGCACCCATCTCATCGGCTTATTTGGGTGCGTTCAGGATTTTCCTGAAATCGGTCATTTTACCCCTCTACTGGCCGGTTTTTCGGCACTAAAGAATCAATTTTTGGCCGCTCCACGTGGCATCCGGCTCAATTCGGGTATTGTACCCACATACATCGGAGTTGCGACAATAATCCCAGCGAACTTCGTGCCGCGGCGTGCTGCCGATCTGCACGAGTACTCTCTTCCCTCCCTTGTCGACGAGACGGAGAACGTCTAGGCCACCTTTTTAAGGAAATATCATCCAGAGAAGTCCAAAACTGCTCTCCAAATGGCGAACAACCTCCTCCCTTCCAACAGGCGCCTTAATTCCCATCTCACCAATTGACCTTGTTGACACACGCCGCCTGCGTGCCTTGATAGCCTGTGTGTGTTTACTGTCCACATTTCCACACCTCGCAGGCTGTGAGAGCATCTGAAGGGCATTGGACGTCAGAAAAGCCACGCCTTTCATGCTTCTAACACTTGTACGATGCTTTGAGGGCGTCTACTGCCTTCTTTAATATCCCCAGTTTTAAAAAAAGGCGTTTTGTGCGGGTAGCGCGCTCTTCTCTACTCTTGGTAATTTGTCACTTGTATGCGAGGGTTTATGCTCTCAGTTCCGGCGGCATACCGCCACCGTCGAACCACGAGGCGGGTAGAGAAGAGGAGGAAAAACTTTACTGTCCAGGTGCTGGGTGCGTGTATGTGTGTGTGTGTGAGATGGACTCTGCATAGTTTTAGAAGGCGGGGAGGGCAGAGGATCGTGGGTTGAAAAGTGCCCAAATTAACCCATTACCCAAATTAAGCCGGTGAGAAGGGTACTGCACGAACACAAGCTGAACAAAGCAAAATATACTTCAGTATACATGTATATCTTTCAACTATTTTTATGACGAGTACCACTTCTCGCATTGCTAATTCCAAAAAGCTACTTTTTAGCTTTCCTCACCTTGCGAATGGAGCGGGAAGGCGTCTGTTTCGGGGATCTGGGCGCTGCCTTTGAATCCATATCGTAGACTTCAGTAGGAGGCGCACGCTTCCTGGCGGACCGCCTTATCGGTAGCGTCTGCGACTCTTCATCGGCAGCCGTCAATTTCGTCTTTCGCACTGACTTTGTCCGTTCAACAGGCGTCTCATTGCTTGAAGCAGACCGAGGGCGAGTCCGCCTTGTCGCGATCGGTGTCGCATCGGCAGTTTTCACCTCCGAGCGTCTTGCAGCTTTTGCGCTAGATTCATCAAGCTTTGATTGACCGCGTTTCACCCTTCTTGCGGAAGCAGGGCGTTTCTCAGTTTCACTCGGCTTGGTGGCTGCATCGCTGTCGACAGTAGCATCGGCTTCGTTGCTCGGATCGGAACTGTCCTTCTTCCTCTTAGTCATACCTTTGCTTGCCTTCCCTTTCTTGGTGACGGGAATGTTCGCTTGCTTTTCAACCAAGACGCCCTCATCGTTTGCGTTCTTTTTGGCAGGAGACTTGTTCGACCGCCTTGCCGACTTTCTTTGGACCTTCGATTCTGTCTCGTTGCCCAGCGCGCTGTGGACCTCTCGTGACACGTCTTTAGATTTCGCCTTTTTCTCTACGCGCTTATCCATCTTTTGTGACTTCTTAGAGGCTTCCGTCTGAACTATGGGCTGCTCAACTTCCTCTTCGTTTTCTGTGGTGCGGATGTTCTCACCAGGACTGTCATAATCGCCAGTCTTTTCGTTTCCTGTCTCTTTGTGTACTGCGACGTCTCCGTTCACCTCATCCTTGTTATTGGAGTTTTCGGATGCGCTGCGCTTACCCGCTCGCTTGGTGCCCTTTCGCGGTGCCTTTTTCTTTGACTTTTTCGTTCCGGATGCGGTTTCTTGGGTAGATGGGAGTGATGGTGCCTTCCCTTCAGGCACTTCTCCCGGTTTGCTCTCGGCGTCCATGGAAGAGTCTTTTGCTGTGGCAACTACAGGATCGCCAGTAATTTGCTCCATATGATCTTTCTCACGCGCTTTCGTTGAGTCGCCAGACTTGTTCGCACTTTTCATCTCATAGCGCAAGAGAGATTTAGACATAGTCGGTAGGGCAGAAAATATAGGAAGAGCCGGGGACTTATTAGTCTTGATAATGAGCGATTGCACATCATCCCATCCCCCCGGCAAGCGCTTGACAACTCCGTCCACAGCCATATGGACATTCTCGACATTTTGGTCGAGGGTGAGGTCGATTTTGCCAACACGCAACGTAGAGCTAGTGCCCTGTCGCAATGTGAATGCGGTAGAACGAAGGGCCTTCGAAATGCCATTGAGGTTGCCGCTACGAATGTCGACTTGCAGAGGCATCTTTCTCGCCTGAAGAAAGGTGTTACCCAATAGCTTGGGCATCATCGGTGACACGCGGTTATCAACCAGAAATAGATCGTATTGTTTAGCAAGCTCGCGGCGTCCTTCGTGCGTGCCGTATTCTTTTCGAAGCCGATGCGTGCCCATTACTTCCTTGACGAACTTGTCGTCATGTCGCTCCAAATAGTCCTTGACGTCGTCTTCAGGGTCTTTGACAAAAAAGCAGACGTCGGTGTCTGCCATGTTGTAGAGTGAATTCTTCAATAGCCTAGAGTTTACAGAGGAAAGAAAAGAAAACCGGTAAATCGAGATAATCAAAAGAACCAGTCAGCGTCCGAGCCCATCACCTTCAAAAGCGTGAGAGGCACAAGGAAACAGTTCAGTACGTACAGGGAATATGGACGGAGTCTACTCTTCGCGGGCGGTTCCTTCAACGTAAGGCCGAGGTAGACGAAGACCTCAGAGGCCATCAAGTCAGCGATATTCCTCCCAGTCTCCGCTGCGCGCAGGGCGCGTTTCTTTTCCCGTGCAGAAGCATCTTTGAGAAGGGCGTTGACGGCCGAGCGCACGGTGGCGTCCACGAGGCGCGACTCGTACTCGGGGGGGTTTGCGAGCTTGGCCTTCTGCTGCGGCGGGGCGTCTGCGGCGCCGACGGCGGCGTCCGGGAAGACACGCTTGATAGTCATTGGAGGGGGCTGGGAAGGGTAGTACGATGGCGGGCACAAGAGGGAGTTGTGGTTGTTGAGGATGTGGGACGATGGCGCTCTGAGAAGGTTGGAGAGCGCGTGACCTGCTCGTGAGCTACGCCACCGCCGTCGACCTGGATCGGTGTTTGATCGCTCAGGAATTTGTATCTACAAAAACTACCCTTGGGTATCAACTCGGTCATTCATTGCTGTGATATATATTTAACGAAAAAATTTGTGTCCGAGTTAGACACGTGTCGGAAAATAATCGACTCACGCACACTGCTGTTCTTTAGTTCACTGTGTTTTTTTGCAGCAAGAGCGCAGACTGGCGACCCAACGTGCGTTCGTTTACTTGTCTTTCGGGCTCACATCTGCAGAGGACGGGACTAACAGAGGCGCGGCTCTATCCTAATAGTTGTAAGAGGGCCATGCGTACCATTTGTTGCCAGTAGTAATGAGTCTCTGAAACGCCCGTGATTGATTCCAACTTGCGCCATTTTCGTTGTCTCTCAATGAGGTTTTGACCAAGCCGGTTTTCCACGAGATGGCAACCTCGCACGAACGTCTTTTGTTCCCGGCGTGGTCGGGCACGAGACCACGACGCAACGCTGCAGACTTGAGGCGTTTTAAGAAGCCTTCAGTGCCTGCCGTCGCCGCGGCTGTAGCCTGCATCATTATCACCGCAGCACTTTCCATGACGCGAGGGGGTGGTACAGATCGCGTACTTGGAAAGGCGCTCGCAGCTGGAGATGCAAAATCTCTAGGGCTCCCGAGACACTTCACCACCGTGCCGTCCGGTAGGAAGGGACTCAATAACCCTTGGCGAGGGGCCGGAAATCGGAGACGGAACGACTTGCTGTCGTCTGTGTCCGGCTGCGGCGGGACGTACCGCCCCAAGCTCAAGGATGGCGATACGGCGTCTCTGTACTATTCGCTGAGACAAGATGACAATCTCGTCACTGACGCGTCAAGTAAGGGACACGCAATTGATCTAGTTCTCGGTTCGGGACAACTCGGCGACGAAATCGAAAGTCGCATAAGGGGGCTTTGCGCCGGCGAGACGATGAGGTACGCTTCGAATGATGGCATTTTAATTGTGCATGTTGCGTATATCGGCAAACTGGGCGTTCAGAACGAACGCTTGCAGCGACTAGAAAAGCTCTCTCACATCATTAAGAGCCTTCGCGCGTCCAAGGGGGTTTCCTGCGAGCTCGCCTGCCGTCGCAAGGGGCTAATATGTGCTCAAGATGGCTTCAAAATCATCAATACTTGCCCAAGACTCAAGCAAGCATACCCTTGCCGATCATGTGAAACGGCAGCTGCGGGATCCTCAGGACCGGATATGCCATGTTATGTCGAAATCTCTGCACCAGTGGGACATCCACGAGGGTCCTGCATGGTGAATCCTAAAATCACTTCGGCAACTTGCAAGGCCAAGTATCGGCACACACGCCGCCTCTGCCCATGCATACCGCGTGGAGAGACATGACGCTGAGGGCGAAACAGCTACTTGACGATAATGTCAGTGAGATCTTCAAGTGAGAAAAAAAAAGTGGGGAGAGCATAGTTCCTCTTCCCCACCTCGAATTGAACAAGGCGCGACACCGAAATGTCCGAATCGCTTGATCTCAGTTTTTCGTAGGAAATCAGTCTTGGATCAGCTGCTCATGAGTCCGCGGAGCATGGAGTTCATCATACCGCCCAAACCCGTGGGCGCTGGTGGTTGAATCCCAAAGTACTGAGTTCCGATGCTTGTAATCATTGGCGGAATACTTTCGTCCCGTCGCAGCTCCGGCTGGTATACGGAAACAATCTTGGTATACAAAGGTGCCGCCGATGGCTGTAGTTGACACAGCTTAATCACCAGCTCACAGAAATTGGCCAGCGGAGGGGCTTCGGTTTGGCCTGATGAGGAGCTTTCAGGATCCTCTACCGACTGCCACCCTTTGAGGCGAGAAAACGTAGTCCGCAGCACGACAGCATCCTTAATATTTTCCGAGGCAAGGTATTTTAGCACGGCGCGAGTCAAAGCCAGTGCTTTCTCGCTCTTGAGGGTGTGTATTTCTGTGTATTTATGCAGGATACTGGCAAACTCCTCAGGGCTGTCTGAATAAACGAACAAGCGCTCTGCCAGCTCGAAATCCCCTGCGCCAGCAGCCGCAATTCCACCGAGACTGTTGAGTCCCGCATGCCCATTCCTGAACCCCTGGCAATCCTCCCGGGCAGACCAGGCAATGGCGGCCTTGACAAAGCGCAGTCTCTCGCGGTTGAACTCTTGAGTTGTAGTTTCAGAATCCTCTGCGTCTGGAGGAAGACTAAACGCGTTTGCAATTTCGAGAATTGCGAAGATGTTTTCGTGCGAGACCGGATCCTTGTGGTCTTCGCTATGCTTAATGAGTAGGAGACCAAGGGCAACTCCAGCCTGGGTTTGACGCTTCTTGAGCAGTGTCACGGATGCTGATCGTAGGATCTCGCGCGCTCGGTCGATGTCTTCCGGTGTTGGACTCTTGCTCTGTGTGAGGCGATGGTGCATCATGCGGCATGCCTGTTCTGCGCCATAGAAGTCGTCGTTCTTGATTGAGCGATCGAAGCGCTTCTGCAAGCTGTTTAGCGAAGCCATTTTGGTTTGTTGCAGTTGACCAATTGAGGGATCTGGGGCCTTTGTCTGGGGCTGTGGATTAGTCTCGGGTTGAGTTGTGAAGGTGAGGCGAATGCTGGCGGTGTTGATGTTGACGGCAATATGAAGGGTTCGCCCAATTCATGATTCTTAGTTAGTCTCAAGAATCATCGAAAATATTTTACTTTAACACATGTATTTTTTGTCGATCAGATCAAAATTTGAGCTTGCTATAACATTACAGTATTTGCTGCGTAAATTGTATTCGCCGCTGGCACACCCGCACACCGGTCTGATAGGCGGCCCTGCCACGCAGTTGACGTCATTTGTTCGACGCACTCAGCAGGACAGCATTGCTTTTAGGAAGTGCACGCAAGAATGCGTATCAAAAAATTTGAGGACTAGTCGCTGTATCCTTCAGTGACATTGAAGCAAAAGTTTCTCCGAATGCAAGGGTAATTGTCCTCATCGGCATGTCAGGCAGGGTCGGAACTGGCAGATCAGAGGGTAAGCGCTTGTCGAATGAGTGAAAAGGCATTGCAAGGGTACGCGATCTACAGCACGCCCCAGGGTATATTGCTTGCATGCTGTATTCAAGCATGAATGTGCACGGCCCATTTTGGAAACCGGAATGAGAACAGATGCCAGCCGGGAAGTCGCTGACTGCAACGTGAAAAACAAGGAACATCGAGATTCAAGCAATGCTGCCCAAGAGGCCGAGACGAGTTATTTAATTTGCTGTTTTGACAAGTGTCGGGAGGGAAGCAAGTCGTGATCAAGCACGTCGTAAAGGGTGGTGGGGGCGAGGAGCTTATAGGCTCACGCAACAGCCCTCACGGCGTTGCGGTTGGCCTGTCGCCACAAGACGGCTTTCATAACTGCTGCGCGGATGCCGTAGTACGGGAGCTCGTACAGCAAGTTGCGGGCGAGTCCGGATGAGCCTTGAGTGTTGTATACAACCTGGAGCGTTTCAAGGGCGGCTGAGAACCCGGCCTTCCTCATGTCGCGATGCACGATGACGTCGGCGTTCCACGGATCGACGGGGATTATGCGATCTTTGAAGTGGGCGCGGTAGAAGCGCGCGCCGGGTTGCTGGTTCATCATACAGGCGGAGAAGCTGAAGGTGGAGTTGGAGATGGCCAACACATCACACTGCGTGAGAGACCACCAGTCTGGGAAGAAACCCGCCTTGAGATGCTTCATGTCGGATGGCACTTGCAAGCCTATGTCGTCGGCTGTGACAGGGTTGTATGCCGCGAAATCGCGCAACACGGAGCCGAGATCGTCGGATGCGACGAAGAGAATGGGATTATCCAAGGTGGGCCAGATCTTTTCGAGCCACTCCAGGTACCAAGTGGTCGGAGCGCAGTACCCAAAGGAGCTGGCGGCGATGTTTTGGTAGTCACCCAAGCGTAGGTGAAGACCAACGACGGTGTGTTTAACGCCATTGCGGAAGCGCAAGTTGTTTTCAAAAACGAATTCGCAGTGGGCCTTGAGTGCGGGGACAGGGGCAAAAGTGCGCTGAATGAGCGGCTTGAAGTTCGCAAAGTACGAGGTGTGCCACTGGAACCAACCCCAGATGTCGACGTTGCGCGGCGAGTCAAGGTTGGGACCATCGAGACTGTCGGGTGTCAACTCAGCGACGTGGGTGCCGGTGCGGGAGTTTTTGACATAGTCGATGAAATCGTCGGTGAAGGTGGAGTTGGCCAAAGTGCCCTTGAACTCGACGACAGCCGGGAGGGCTCTCTGGACAGGCCTGTCCGTGAGGCCGAACAGACCAGCTCCGACCCAGGCAGGGACCTGAATCTCAGAAATCGCGTTGTTCTCTGCGTAGCACTTCAAAAACATGTATTGCATGAGCTGGTTTCCAAACCTGCCAAGCTCGCCAAAGCCGGTCATGGTGACGACCGAGGGGCCATGATACGGGGCGGTTGCCGGGATGTGCGGGTTGAGGACGCTGGCGGTCTTGCCGAGATCGAAGATGCGCGAGATTGCGATCTCCGTTTCCTTTTTGTACGCCGCGGCTGTGGTCGGCGGAGCTGAAGGCAGGACCTTAGGAGCAGCGGGAGTGGGCGGGTGCACGACGATAGGCCTGGGAGCGAGACTGGGGACAGTGTGGACGGGACTGGCGGGCACGACAGCATCACTCTTGAGCGTACGAGTGCGCGGCGGACGGGTCGGCAGGAGGGCGTCGAAGGGGACGACAGCATCGAAGTCTTCTTCATCGCTGGTCTCTGTGAGATCCGAGGCGGCATCGAGAGGATGACTCTTGGGGGCGGTGGATGCGATGCTGTGAAGTAATTCGACGACACGGGGGGAGTATTCTGCCGAGATGATCTTGTTCAAGGCGTGGACGTCGGTGGTGGCGGAGACGTTAACGCCGACTTTTTCCAGGAGAAGGGCGCATAGCTCTGCGACGTGGTGCGCGGAGGGGCTGCTGGATTGGTGGCGCTTGGAGCGCGGGTCGAGCACGGCCGGGGCGTCCGGGCGCGAGCGCTTGGTGAGTAGAGTGGTATTGTCCATGGTTGTTAATGGAGAGGTGACGAGTTGTGGGCGGGAGGGTATGGGCTAGAAGAGGTGGGTGCCGCCGTGAACTTGCGAGTGAGCAAATGTGGCGGGCGACGCTCTGTCCATAAAGCTACTTGAAGGGAAAGGATGCAGGGTTGTTCGGAAGGGGGGAGGGAGGCAGCGGGAGGCGAGGCTTCTTGGTTGGGCTTGGTGTGGTCGATCAGTTGTGGGATGGGGGGCAGATGTGATGGCGGGGATTGCAGGGGTTTATGGCGCAGGGGAGGATGGTATATATACGAAAGCGAAAGTGGGAAGCACACAAGCAGGGCGCAGATGTGGATTCGGATGTAAGGGTGGGAATTGGGGGTACTAGGGTGGTCGAAAGTTTGTCTGCAGTATGAGCGAGGAGCCGAGTTCGAAGCGGGTAGGGGCGTAGTCTGCAGGCCGTATCCGGCATGGTGGCGGCGCCCACGGCATGCGAATTGGTTGACGAGCGGCACCCGTGTGACGTGGGCGTGGAAACGGGCGTGCTCCGCACGCACACACAAAACGGGATGACTGGATCGGGGCCTCCGCCGCGTGGGGGCCGCGAGCACACGATCTGGCGCACGGCGCGGCGATCATGGCTCGCCCCCGCCCCCCTCCCCCCCCCCCCCC